GAGCAAAGGTGGCAGCTACAGAGAAGAGAGACAGAGCAGTGTGTACATATAATGGGCATGTGAGTTGACTCTTCAGGCCCTCTGCCTCTTTAAAACCTTCTGATTTTATGAGAAGCTTGCCTTTATAAAAAAAAAAATTGAAGTGAATGTTACTTAAGATAAAATTAACCATTCCAATGCACAATTCAGTGGCATTCAATGCATTCTCATGCTGTGCAATCACTTCTATATAGTTCCAAAACACTTCTATCACTCCAAAAAGGAGCCCTGTCCCCCTTAGCAGTCACTCCCCCACCCTCCCCCGGATCCTGGCCACCACTAACCCATTTTCTGTCTCTGGATTTGCTTGTTCTGGACATTTCACATAAATGGAATCATATGCTAGGTGGCCTTTTGTGTCAGACTTCTTTAGCTTAATGTGTTCAAGGTCCATCCACATTGTAGCATATGTCAGTGTTTTGTTTCTTTTCATGGCTGCATAATATTCCATTGCATGGCTGAGCTGCACTTTGTTTATTCATTCATCGATTGACAGATATCTGGGTTGCTTCCACTTTTTGACTCTTGTGAATCATGCTACTGTGGACATTTGAGGATGATTTTTTTTGTGTGGATGTATATTTTCATTTCCTTGGGGCCTCTGCTCTAGTTCGACCTCCGTAAGAGCAGGGCAACATCTGAGTCAGCCTTTACCTCCAAGGCCTATCAAAGCACCTGGAAGGGAGTAGTTACTCAAAGAACATTTGATGCATAGTGAATAGGAAAAAGGTGGGAGGGAGGAGAAGGAAGAAGCGAAGCATGGATAAGATCCACCCTGGAAAGGGTACCAGTTCATCCCCTCTAAGAACAGAGGCAAGGGAATAAGGAGTTTTTTAAAAGGAAAGGAGAGAGCTTTCTACCGTCCTTCCCAGTCTAAAGAGCCCCCATTCAGCTGAGCTGCACTGATGAGTGGCAGAAGCGCGTTAATGCTGCAGTGCTTCCCGGAGTCAGCATGCCCTGCAATGAAAGCTGCAGGCAGCCCCGTGTGTTCTGCAAACCCTTCTGCCTGGAATTGAATATTTCCCCAGGGAGCAAAGAACCTGGGGTGTGTGGGTCAAGCTCAGGCAGTGGGAGCTGTTCTTTCAAAAAACAATCTGGTCATTACCAGAGAGACAGTTCTTATTCTGCAAATTTGTGCTCAGCAAAGCATTAACGTGGCGCAAATGCATAGTTGGTAGCATTTAAAAATTTTTTTGTTTATTAATCCTCACCTGAGAGGACATGCTTATTGATTTAGGAGAGAGAGAAACATCGATGTGAGAGAAAAACACCAACCAGCTGCCTCAAAGTACACACCCCAGCCAGGGATCAAACCTGTAGCCCTTTGGTGTACGGAACAACCAGGAGCCTCCCAGTCAGGGAGGCAGCATGTCTGTTGTGTGTGTGTGTGTGTGTGTGTGTGTGTGTGTGTAGAGAACCCTAAAGATTCCACCAGAAAAAAACTGCTAGAACTGATAAATAAATTCAGTAAAATAGCAGGATACAAAAAAAATCGAGAAATTGGTTACATTTTTATACAGCATAATGATCAGAAAGGGAAATTAAGAAAACAATCCCATTTATGATTGCATCAAAAAATACCTAGGAATAAATTTAACCAAGGAGGTAAAAGACTTGTTTTAAGAAAATTATAAGACATTGAAGAGAGAAATTAAAGAAAATACAAACAAATGGATGCATATACCATGCTTGTAAATACAAAAAATTAACATTGTTAAAATGTCCATACTACCTGAAAACAATTTATAGTGTCAACTCAAGTCCCATAAAAATACCAGTGATGTATTTCACAGAACCAAAACAGATAATCCAAAAATTTATATGGAGTGACAAAAGACCCTGAATAGCCACAGCAATCTTGAGAAAGAACAACATTGGAGGAATCACATTACCTGATATCAAACTATACTACAAGGCCACAGTAATAAAAGAAAGCATGGAACTAGCATAAAAACATATATATAGGAATGTGAATAGAGAGCCCAGAAAAAAACCGACGCCTATTAGTGATATTTGACAAAGAAGGCAAGAACATACAATGAGGTAAAGATAGTCATCAGTAAATTCAGTAAATAGTGTTGGGGCCCTGGCTGGCGAGGCTTAGTGGATTGAGCACCAACCTGCAGACCAAAAGGTCACTGGTTCAATTCCCAGTCATGGTTCATGTCTGGGTTGTGGGCCAAGTTCTCAGTTGGGGCATGCGAGAGGCAGCCAGTTGATGTTTCTCCCACACATCAATGTTTTTCTCTCTCTCTTTCTCCTGTGTTTCCCCTCTCTCTAGAAATAAATTTTTAAAATACTTTAAATAAATAAATAATGTTGGAAAAATTGGACATATACATGCAAAAAAATGAAACTAGACCACCTTCTTATACCTATATATACAAGAATAAATTCAAAATAGATTACAGACTTAAATGTAAGACTCAAAACCATAAAACTCCTTGAAGAAAACATAGGCAATAAAATCTTGGACATTGTTCTTTTTTTATTTCAATATTTCTTGCAGTAATATTTTTTCTGATATATCACCTTGGGCAAGGGAAACAAAAGAAAAATAAACAAATCAGACTATATCAAACTAAAAAGGTTTCACGCAGAAAAACCATCAACAGAACGAAAAGACAACCCACTGAATGGGAGAACATATTTGCCAATGATACATCTGATAAGGGGTTAATATCCAAAATTTATAAAGAACTCATACAACTCAACACCAAAAACACACAAACAATCTAATTTTAAAAGTGGATAGATAAAGGACCTGAATAGACACTTCTCCAAAGAGGACACACGGGTGGCTAATAGACATAGGAAAAGGTGGTCAACATCACTAATAATCAGAGAAATGCAAATTAAAACCACAATAAGGTATCACCTCACACCTGTCAGAATGACTGCCATCAATAAAACAACAAACAAATGTAGGTGAGGATGCAGAGGAAAGGGCACTCTCGGGGACTGTTGGTGAGAATGCAGATTGTTTTCCACTGTTGGTGCAGCCACTGTGGAAAACAGTATGAAGTGTCCTCAAAAATTTAAAAATGGAACTGCAGTATGACCCAGCAAATCCACGTTTGGGATATATCCAAAGAAACCCAAAACACTAATTCAAAAGAATATATGCACCGCTATGTTCACTGCAGCATTATTTACAATAGCCAAGCCACTAAAGCAACCCAAGCCCCTATCAATAGATGAGTGGACAAAAGTAATGGTATATATATGTCATATACAATGGAATATTAGTTGGCCATAAAAAAGAATGAAATCTTACCATTTGCAATAGCATGGATGGTCGTAGAGGGTATTATGCTAAATGAAATAAGTCAGTCAGAGAAAGACAAAACCATATGATTTCACTTATATGTGGAATCTAAAGAACACTATAAACAAACAAAACAGAAACAGATTCATGCAGAGAAACAGAGATACAGAGAACAGACAGTTGCCAGAGGGGAAGGGGGCTGGAGGACTGGGGGAAAAAGATGATGGTATTGAGAAGTACAGGTTGGTAGATAGAAAATAGTCGTGGCATAGAGCATAGGAAATATAGTCCATAATACTGTTGCCGCTGTCTGCGGTGCCAGGTGGGTACTGGGAATATCAGGGGGAACACTTCGTAGACTTTATGATTGTCTCACCACTATGCTGCACACATAAAACTAATGCAAAATGATATTGAATGTAACTACACTTGGAAAAAATACTTTCAAGAAGTTTTATATTTACAGAAAAATTGCACAAATATTACAGAAAATTTCCATATATCCCACACTCAGTTTCTCCGATGATTAACATTTTAAATTAGGCTGGTACCTTTGTTATAATTAGTGGACCAATATTTGTACATTATTAATGACGTAAGCCCACAGTTCATTCAGATTCCCTTAGCCTCTTTTTCCTGATACCGTTATTCGGGCCCAGGACCCCATACAGGACCCCATGTAACATTCAGTCCTCACGTCTTCACAGGCTCATCTGAGCTATGAGTTACTCAGGCTTTCCTTGTTTTTGGTGATTTTGACAGTTTTGAGGAGGACTGGTCAGGGATTTTGTAGAATATTCCTAAACTGGGAGTCTGGTGTTTTTCTCACGGTTAGACCAGGGTGACGGGTTCTGGGAGGAGACCCCACAGTGAAGGGCCCTTCTCATCCCGTCATATCCAGGGTCATGTGTCACCGTGACTTACCACTGGTAACAGTGACCTTCATCCCCGGGCTGAGTCTGTTGGTCAAGCTTCTCCACTGTAAAGTCACCCTGTCCCCTTGTCACACTGTCCTCTTTGGAAGGAAGCCACTCTGTCCGGCCCACATTAAAGAGTAGGGAGTTATTCTCTGCCTCCTGAGGGCAGAGCCTCGACATACACTATGTGGAATTCTTCTGTGCAGAAAAGCTGTCTCTCCTCCCCTATATGTATTTATCCAATCATTTATTTATACCCGTTTGATCTCGTGGACATTTTATTTTACACTTTAACTTACAATCCAATACGCTATGATTTTTTGTTCTTGTTGCTCAAACTATCCCAGCGTCAGCCATGGAGAGCTTTTCCAGTTGAGTGCTGTGTCCATTGGATAACTTGCTGCATTTAACAGCAACAATTCATCAGAGACCAGACCCTGCAGAGTCACCTCAGAAAGAATGCTGCTTATATCTCAGAGTGTGTAACACTGTGTGACAGGAGATGAGACCCTCCCTCTCCCTCAGCTTTGGCTTTCCCCATCAAAAAACAAAACAAAACAAAAAAAAGACAATACATGTTAGGTTCTCTATCGGGAGCCTTCTAGTACTGGGGCTGCATGGTTTTCTGGGCTGACACACCGATGTATTTTGTCCCAGCAATTCCCAGAACTAAACAGGTTTTGTCGTTTTTGGTTTTTGTCGTTGTGTCTGAACTCCACGCTCCAATGGCTGGATTTTCGGTGCCTGCTAACGTGCCCTCCCGGCTGCGTTCACAGGCCGTTACGGGAAGAGACTGGGACGGACTCACTTGGCAGTCCAGCGGAAGACGCGTCCTGTGAGTTTCCACGCGTGCAGAAACGGGTGCGCTGTTTCCGGGCCTCAGCTGGCCCGGGACTGTAGAAATCCCAGAGGCTGTGCTCCTGGGTACAATGGCAGGGAAGGGGGTTGGGTTGTTCTGCTCCGAGGCCTGCAAGGAAAGTGACTGTGGTGGATGAGAGACATGTGGGCACTGTTGTGAAGTCAGCACCCTGCTTGTCTTGCTGTGTGTTCTAAAGCTGGTTGCTTAGCCTCTCTGTACCTCCAATGTCTCATCTACTAAATATAGGTGGTGAGCCTGCCACACAATGGGGTGCGGCTCTCACCAGGTCAGGAAGAGAAGAGGAGGAAAAAGAAAGTAAAAACACCTGTTTTGTTTTGTTGTTTTGTTTTCCTGTTTCTCCACAGCCCCTCCCAACACGTTGAACTTCAATGGAGCCCACCGTAAGCGAAAGACACTGGTCGCTCCAGAGATCAACATTTCCCTGGATCAGAGTGAGGGCTCCCTGCTGTCAGACGACTTCTTGGACACCCCTGATGACCTGGACATCAATGTGGATGACATCGAGACCCCCGATGAGACCGACTCGCTGGAGTTCCTGGGAAATGGCAATGAGCTGGAGTGGGAAGGTGAGCTCGAGGGCTGCTCATGGCGCCTGAGTAGCCCCAGACCACACTCAGCACCGCTGCTGGTTCCCAGTCCAGCTTGTTAGAGCAATGCCCCCATCCCCACAGGCTCGGCGGGGCAGGTGTCTGATCCTGGGGCTCACGAAACAGCCCCAGGAGGGTCTTCCTGCTCTTGCAACTCCACGTGTATTTTTCTTGAAGGTGACCAAGGCCAAAAGGAAATGCCTTCAACTGATTCCACAAGTGTTTGTGGAGCATGTACTCAGGGCCAGGTCTCCGCTGAGATGGGGGAATATGGAGGGTATATGGCAGGAATAGGTGGCGCTGCCCACATGCACACACAGTGGTCAGAGAGAGACGCTAATAATAAAAGAAATGTGCGCAAGGTAATTGCAGCCGGTCATCAGTGCCATGAGATAACTGGGTGAGGTGACGGCATAGCGCGGGGGTGGGGGGTGTTTCTCACCTGAGGGTTGATTCTGCCCTCTAGGGAACACTCGGCGATGTCTGATTACATCGATGGTTGTCGCAACTGGGGGTGGAGGCCAGAAATCCTGCCCAGGACAGCCCCCGACAGAAAACGACCCAGCCCCAAATGTCAAAAATGCTCAGGGTGACCTTGAGCTGTGAGGTGTGAGGGTCACACCTTGAGCTGGGGTAACTGGGGGTGGGGGCCCCTTTAGGAAGGAGGTTGGGGTAGGTTTCTCTGAGTAGGTATTAGTTGACCTGACATCTTGAGACAGGAGCACAGGTCAGGTGAGAGAGACTGTGATGCTGGTGGCCGTGGCAATGGAATCAGACACATATGTGCCGGGCAGGTGTGGAATAGGACGGGAAGAAGGAGCCAGTGGTGATGCTTAGGGTGGGGGGCCTGAGCAGCAGGGAATATGGCTGAGCCATCTCCTGAGCAGGAAGCCTGCAGGATGAAAGCTGGGAAAGAGGTAGGTATTTTGAGTGGCTGAGAACCTGAGAAGGAGAGATGCCCAAAGAGGAGAAAACGTGTGCAGTCACACAGCAGGCTGTTCACAGAAATGAGCTCTACCCCGGGCGACTGAGCAACACCCACCCAGGATTTCCTTGTATTTCACGGCTTGAAAAAACAATTATGTGGCTGTCACTTTTTGACTCCCAGGTCCCCCATTTTTCCCAACAGCCTCAAGCTATCACTGTCGGTGAGTGAAGCACAGGGTCAGGGTGTAGCCTGTGGCCTGAGGAGAGAGGTGCGGGCTCTGCGGCCACGGGCAGTGAAGGGAGCTGGGGGAGCCTGGGACGGGACATCGGACTCAGGCGTTCCGTCTGCTCACCCCTTGGCCTGCTTCCAGATGACACCCCTGTGGCCGCTGCCAAGAACATGCCCGGGGACAGCGCAGACCTGTTTGGGGACGGCGCGGCTGAGGACGGCAGCGCTGCCAACGGGCGCCTGTGGCGGACAGTGATCATCGGAGAACAAGAACACCGGATTGACCTGCACATGATCCGGCCCTACATGAGGGTGGTGACCCACGGAGGTGAGACCACACCCCGAGGGCCCCTCTCCGCTCCAGCGGGGGCCCTGTCAGTGGCCCTCTCTGAACCTCTGTCTCTTCACAAGCCACGGGACGTTGAGCGTTCCTCTCTGGGTGGGCGTGGGTGAAACTCACATGGGGACAAGGCATGGATGCTGGGTGCTCACGCGGGGTGCCTATGAGGGTGGCTGGTGCTCCCTACCAAAGGCAGAGACAGGTCAGGGGCGTGGGGTGGCTCGGAGCTTGGAGCTCAGAGAGGGCGCTACCCATCTCTGCCTGGGGCCGCTCACGGGCCTGTCTCCCCAGGGTACTATGGCGAAGGTCTCAATGCCATCATCGTTTTTGCTGCCTGCTTCCTCCCAGACAGCAGCTCTCCCGACTACCACTACATCATGGAGCACCTCTTCCTGTGAGTAGCCCGCCTGCCCCGTCCCAGTTGTCAACATTTCTGAGGGTCCCAGCAGAGGGCCGGACCAGGCTGTAAAAACCACATTGGGAGGGGGCTCTGCCTGGCACCAGGGAGGGGCTGGCCACCTGCAGACCTGGATCTGAGTCCCCTGCTCGCCCCCTGGGCCTCATTGGTGCGATCATCGTCGTCAGTGTCATTTATGGTGTGCTACTGCGAGGCAGCCACGATGCTAAGTGCTGTGTGTGTGATGAGGCATTCCACCCTCACCGCAACCCTGTGGGGCAGGGACCTCCCATCCTACAGGGGCAGAGTCGGAGGCACAGAGGGTAAGTCACTCGCCCAAGGACACACAGGTACCGCTTTATGATGACAGAGAAAGATAACACATATAAAGCACCTGGCAGATAATAGGAAGAGCTCATTATCTCATGATTACTCATTATCGTTCTTACGAAGATTCCTCCTTACACAGCAGGGCTTGCGTGCCCGGTGGACCAGAGGACGGGAGGTACCCGTGGGAGGTCAGAATGGGAATGGTCTGAGATTCCGGGGAACGCAGCCTCCCCAGTTACAGATGGGAAAGTAGAACTGAGGGAGAGGAAAGGATTTTTCTGAAACTGCTCAAGGAGAGGTGGAGCTGGGATGGACCCCAGGTCCCTAACATCCAGTGCAGTGGACTGTCCACTGTGGGTGCCTGTTCCCCAGCTGTTTCTGGGGCTATTGAGACCCACTCCCAGAATTACTGCAGATATTAAGTGAAGTCATATGTATAAAGCATGGCACATAGGAAGTGCTCAATTAATGTAACTACTACAATCATTATACCCACTGACACACATTTGGGGTGGGCTGGGTTTATTCACATTGACACCCGCATGTGCCTGGACAGCCAACAATTGCTGAACAGGTGTGGCCGGCACAGCTGGGATAGGGGGTAGCCAAGGCGGCCGGTGCCACAGATGTTCAGTCCCAGGACCCGGAGCTTTCTAACTCTGGGCCGCTCTCACCGGGGCCCCTGTCCTCTGTGCCCTGTGACCAGGTATGTCATCAGCAGTCTAGAACTCCTGGTGGCAGAGGATTACATGATCGTGTACCTGAACGGCGCCACCCCCCGGCGGAGGATGCCGGGCATCAGCTGGCTGAAGAAGTGTTACCAGATGATCGATAGAAGGTGAGCGGGAGGCCCGCCTCAGGTGCAAGGGGAGGGGGACGCTGAGGCGTCTGCAGGGCTGGCTCCTCCGGGGCCCTGGGGAGAATCTGTTCCATGTTCTCCCAGCTCCTAGCAGTTGCTGGCAGTCCTTGGTGTCCCGTGGCCGTAGATGCATCGCCCCAATCTCTGCCTTCATCTCCACATGGCATCTCCCTGTGTGCGCCTGTGTCATTTCCCCTTTTTACACAGACACCGCTCATCTTGTATTAGACCCCGCCCGGCTCTGAGATGGCCTTGCCTGAAATCATCACATCTGCAAGGACCCTGCTTTCCAAACAGTGTCCCATTCTGAGGTCCTGGGGGTTAGGGCTGCAACATATGTATTTGCGGCGGGGGGACACGATTCAACAAGACCACATAGGTGGTCAGAACCAGGGTGCCCCAGAAAAACTCTCAGGAATGGGAGATGGTGTGGCCATGCAGTCAAAAGCTCAGACTCTCATGTAAGAGAGAACCAGCCCTGCCACTTGCCAACTCCGCCAAGGGGCTTAGCTTTACAGAGACTCTGCCTCCTCCCTGTAAAGTCGTAAAGTTGTGGCACCTACAGGGAGTACAGAGGAGGCAACACCTGTGAGGAGCCCCTCCCTCCCCAGGAGCCCACCTGACTTCCTCTGCCTTCCCGCACAGATTGCGGAAAAACCTGAAGTCCCTGATCATCGTCCACCCGTCCTGGTTCATTCGCACCGTGCTGGCCATCTCCCGCCCCTTCATCAGGTGAGGGTGTCGCCTGTGTCCAGATGCCCACGTGGGTTGTTGTGAGTCCTTTTTCTTTTTGAAACCTACATTTCCCAGCTTCTCTACTCTAAGTACAGTAGTATTGCTTTAAACAGTTTCAATCACAGGCCTTGTTATTAAGCAACAAACATGGGGAAAATAATAACCACCAGCTCTCGCATATTGAACGTGGGATACCTTTTAACATGTGAAACCACAACCGTGAGAGGCTGGTGTAATCACACACATTTCATGGATGAGGAAACTGAGGCTCAGAAAGGTCAAGGAACTCACCCAGGGTCATCGGGCAAGGTCACTAGCCCGCCACACTCCCTCAAAAAGGAACTCAGCTCTATTCACCCCAGAATCTATGTGAGGCCCATGAGGGTGCCAAGAGGGTCTGACCTGCTCCTGGGCAATAAAATAATTCAATGAACCAACGCATGAACTCCCCCTGGGATCGATGATTCACCAAAAGGACTCACAGAATTCAAAAGCCGTTGTACTCATGGTCATGGTTTATTACTGCAAAAGGGCGATCATGAAAATTGGCAAAGGAACAGGGTGCAAACGGGCGTCCAGGAGAAACCGGAAATGAGCTCCCAGCTCTCCCCTCCCAGTGGGGTTGTGCCGAAAGCCCTTACTTCTCCAGCAAGGAACGTGACAACATATAGAAGTACTGCCAGTCAGGAAGCCCACCTGGGTGTCCGGGGTGTGTTGGGGGGCTTAGCCACACAGGAACGGAGGGCCAAGCAGCCCACCTCAGCGCCTCGGTGTCCAGTTGGCATCACGTGGTCCGAGGCCCCCACCGTAAATCACAGCACCGCATAGACTGCATGGCAGGCCTCAAGGCCCCGGGTAACCCAAGACACTCTTACCAGGCAAGACAGTTCTAGGCTTTCAGATGACCTCCCGCGAATACCAAGGGCCCAGGTCTGCCTTTGCAACGTGCAGGGTTAGGGCGCTCCAAGCCTGTGGAATCTGTTTCACCCAGAAAAACAGATTGAGGAAAACTAAATTTGGCATGTTAAATGCCCTGGTCAATCACAGAAACATTGAATGTACATTTAATTTAATATCATTACAAACACTGAATTGAATCAAGATCCTTATTTCCACGTTCCCAGTTAAGAATCTCTGGTGAGTTTAAAAGTCAGGGCCACACTTGGCCTTGAAAGACACTCGCAGAGCAAAACATTTGCAAGGAGGCGACTTTAGGCGTCTGTGCTTAAGGACTCCTAATGTTAGTGAAAGGAGGTGAATAATACACCGACTGTGGATTGTTTGTGCTAACAATGAACCCACGTGCATTTCGGCCTAACAGAACTGCATTCCATCCTCAATATCCCATCATTCAAGGCAGATCATTCAAGGCAGATCTTGGCTGCTATTCCCATGGTAAATTTTGAGGGTCTCATTTTGACCTTCAAAGAAAAAAAGAAGGGGTCGGAGTGAACCTCTCCATTTAAAAGCTGAGGAAACTAGAAACTGAGTCTCAGCTACAATCTAGCCCTGAGATTCTGTAATTGTGCCCGCAAGAAAACTCCTGTGTGTTCCATGCTGATCAAAGTCTGGGAATGTGTTTCACACTGAACTGGAAATCTCCCTCCCGAGAGCCCCTCCCTATGAACAGGAGACAGGAAGCTCAGCTCACAGGCAGGCAGAGCAGGTCACAGCTGGAGATTCGCGGTATCTGTTTCCATTGATGGGCGTGGTGGGTGTGACCACATCTTCACAATTTGATTTTTGCCTGTATTTATAGACCACCGCTCAAAGCAGCAGGTGTTGGCTCTGAGAACCACAAAAAAACCTCCCTAACAAATCCAGGCAGTCCACCTTCGGGGCCTGCGGACTCAGACATATCCAGGTTCAGAGCGGACAGCCTGACTCACTCGCTGCCTGTTCACACTTTACCCTTCTGTCACGCCAACTGGAGGGAGGCCTCGGGCTCCAAGAGTAATTTTTTTAATAAAAAAATAAATTTGAACTGCATGAAAGCAGTTGGATTGTTTATTCCAGAGCACATGGCCCTTGTGTGACTCTCCATGGGAAAATGTCTCCGTCACCCCCGATGAGTTACCACTGGCCTCTGCTGAGTCACCGCTTTATTGTCCCTTATAGACACTGTGAGCTGTATAACTTATCACTAGATGCTGGAAAGCCTCAGCCGAATTTTCATCTAATCTCTAAAAATGGATATAAAACTTCTTGACACACCCTTATAGACATTTCACTCTATCTTACCTTTTTTTACTGTTACTTGATTGTTTTCTTACTTATTGTACTGTTATATTCTCTTGGCCTGACGTTTCTCATTGTTAAAAAAAATGTATTTTCCCTTGGGGGAAAAAAGTGTATTTTATGATATCACCAAAATTAGGTTTAAGTTAAAATTAAAAAAAAAAAAATAACCGTGAGTTCAAAGCAGTGTGCTGGTGATGGATTACCACATGGTACCAGCCAGCCTGAGTCTGGGTTTGAACAGGAAGATGCCATTCATCCTAAAAGAATGGAAGATGAGTCAGCAGCCCTACGTTCATCTTCCTGTGCCCAAATGATGACTATGGTCCCCAGCAGTGATGAGAGTGTCAGGGAGGCATTCATGAGAAAATTAACGCAGAGAGGCACTCCTTAGGGTGGATGGAGAGAGACAGCCTAGAGTCTAGTAGAATCTGTTGTCGCTCCGCTTCCTTTAAACCAGTGCCTCAGCTTAGCAGGGATCGTAGTCAGAGGCATGCACCCTTCTCCTCCTGTACGAGAAGACCCAAGGCTCTGCTCTGTCCGCTGCAGGAGGGGTAGGGGTTGGAGGCTGGTATTGGGTGGTGGGGGTGGGGTGGGGAGATTTGAGTAAAGGTGCTCGGGGCATCCTCAAACTGGGTTATGTGTGCCTGCCGGTTCGCCATCGCTCCTTCTGGCTCTGGGCAACAACGCCTCCTTCTCCTTCTGGCAGCGTCAAATTCATCAACAAGATCCAGTACGTGCACAGCTTGGAAGACCTGGAGCAGCTCATCCCCATGGAACATGTGCAGATCCCAGACTGCGTGCTACAGTAAGTGTCCCCATGCCCACTGAGTGCCCCCCACCTGCACCCTCAATGCCCCCAAGCTCCTCAGGTCCCCACTCAGCTGAACACAGCTGCCCAGGAACCAGATATGAGTGGGGAGCAGCGGAACAGAGGGAATCAGTGAAACGAGCACATGTGAGAGTAGAGGATAGGGTGGGCCTGGGGGTCTCGTGCAGCGCAGGGCCAGCGAGCCGCGGCTCACCACTTGGTTGTTTTTCTTTTGAGATTTTATTTATTTATTTTTAGAGAGTAGGGATGGGAGGGAGAAAGAGAGGCAGGGAAACATCAATCAGCTGCCTCTTGTGTGCCCCTAACTCGAGACCTGGCCCACAACCCAGGCATGTGCCCTGACAAGGAATTGAGCCAGTGACCCATTAGTATGCAGACCGGCACTCAATCCACTGAGCCACGCCAGCCAGGGCTCAATTAGTTTTTAAAATAAAGTTTTATTGGCACACAACTACACCCATTTATTCACAGATCATCTATGGCTATTTTCAAGCTGCAGATGAATTGAGTTAGTGCAACCAAGACTGACCTGCAAAGCTGAAAATATTTACTCTCTGGCCCTGTCCAGAAGTACTTTGCCCCGATGGAGGGGCGTGTAGACCAGCCCACGTCAATGAGTGTGCTGCCTTATGACGGCACTGCTCCATCACTGACCAGGCAGAAAATGTCTGCTGGGTCGCACCTATACCAGATGCTGGAATATGCCAACAAAAGAGATATTCCCTGCTCTCGGGGGCTTGCAGAGCAGCCACAGGAAGATGGAAAGGCCAGCACACTTTCGGCTCCGGCTGTCCTTGCTGCTCTAAAGCCTAGTTTATATTCAGAACTCCCTGGGCGGTGTCCCCACAGGGAGAGAGGGTCTGTGTCTGACCTGCTGCTCCTTCTCTCTTCCAGGTATGAAGAGGAGAGGCTCAAGGCCAGGAGAGAAAGGTCAGTGCGGAGTGGCCCTGTCAGGGCTGGCCCTCAGCTGGGCTTGCATGTGGGAGCAGCCAGTGGCTTTGGCTCAGCGGGGACCGACGTCACACTCGAGGCTCTGCTCTTCTCTCAGGGACTTCGAGTCAGACAGAAGTTCAAACCCAGGTTTCTCCACTTAATCACAGAATGATATTAGGCAAATAAAAAGTTCACAATGACCTTGTGGGTTATTGTGAAAAATAAAGAACAGTGTAGCAAAGTTAGCCAAGATGGCGGGCTCCTGGTAGTCAAGATGGTGTTAAGTTCTCCCTTTACAGAGGGAACACAAGCTCTACACTCACCCCAAGAGACCCAGACAGGCCCCTTTGATACCTTCTTGCTTCATGGGCAGGGGCCTCCATCCCTTGCCATTTGGGAATTTCTCCTCCCTTCTCTCCTCGCTCTTCTCTCCTTCTTACCTCCTCCCTTCCTTCCTCCCTCCCTTTCCTCGTTCCTTCTATCCTGTAATTTAAAAAAAAATTTTTTTTACTTGTAGTAAAATTCACATAATGTAAAGTTCACCATTTTAACCATTTTTAAGTACACAGCTCAGTGGCACTAAGCACGTTCACATTGTTGTACAACCGCCACCATCCGCCTCCAGAAGAACTTCCTCACCTCCCCAAACTGAGCCTCTGTCCCCATTAAACGCTAACTCCCAGCCCCTCCCCAGCCCCTGGCTCCCACCACCTACTTCCCGTCCCTGTGGACCTGACTGCTCTGGGGACCTCCCATCATGCTGTTCGCCACAGTGGCTGCGCCATTTTACATTCCCACCAGCGATGCACAGAGTTCCAGTTTCTCCATGCCCTTGTCATTACTTGCTACTTTCTGTTTTTATAATAGTAGCCATCATAATTAATGTGAAGTAGCAATAACTGTTTTTCTTTTTCTTTCCTCCTCCCTCCCTCCCTCCCTCTCTCTGTCTCTCCCTGTCTCGCCTTCTCTCCCATGTCTCTCTCTGAGTTATACTCCTCCTGACTCCCAAGCTTTAGCTATGAACAGGAATAGAAACATAACACAAGCAGGCCACCCACCTTCCAGAATGGTAGCGTGGGGGCGACAGCATCCCTGGAACACACGCATAGATGCCCGTTGGGTAACAAGCTGAGATAATGCTCTGAAGAAATGGTTCAGGGTCTCTCCGTCTGCCCTGTCGCCACTCACGCGCCCCCTTCCTCGCAGCCGCCTCATCTTCACTAACCCCTGCGTGATCACTTCTCTCCACCCTCCTGGGGGCACTTCCCGGGGGCAGCAAACTCTGCCCAAACTGCTCCCAGGCACGGTGGGCCCAGGCCAGAGAGTCCACGGGGAAACTCAAGCCCCTTCATCCACACCACCTTGTCATCCCTAGTCACCTCTCTCTGTCCCTAGTGCAAGGCCACAGCCGGAGTTCGTCCTGCCTAGGTCGGAAGAGAAGCCAGAGGCGGCACCAGCGGAGCACAGGTAAACACACAAGTGACCACTCGTGAGGGCCGACACCCGGCGTGCGCTGCCGAGCCCACCGGAACGTCCGATAACCGTGTTTTCATGACCCCGATGGTTTTCAGGATGATGGAATACCAACACGGGTGTGAGCCGGCCAGCGTGTTGCCTACTCCACCATCAATGTTCAATGTTAGGTCACTGTTCCCTCCGCCCTGCACTGTCCCACATGGGGCCACTCTCAGGAGCCACTCTTGAAATTTAAACGAGTTACCAGTAAATAAAATTTAGAAATTCGCTCCTTGGTCACCCTTGCCACATTTCAGAGCTCAATGCCCCTGCCCTGGACGACGTGGAAGCAGAACATGGTAACCGTCAGGGAGAGGTCTGTGGGCAGTGTGCTTCCAGGCCCTCCCCTTCGCCTGGGTCTTCCTCACTCATTTTTATTTATTCATTTTTAAAGATTTTACTTATTTTCAGAGAGAGGGAAGGGAGAAAGAGGGAGAGAAATATCAATGTGCAAGAGAAACATCAATTGGTTGCCTCTCACACAACCCCAGCTGGGGACCTGGCCCACAACCCAGGCATGTGCCCTGACTGAGGGTCAAACCAGTGACCTTTTGATTCGAAGGCCGACCCTCAATCCACTGAGCCACACCAGCCAGGGTTCTTGTATTTATTTATTTATTTTACTGATTTTAGAGAAAGAGAGGAAGGGAGAGAGAGACAGAAACATTGATTTGTTGTTCCACCCATTTATGCCTTCATTGGTTGATTCTTGATGTGCCCTGACTGGGGATCAAACCGACAACCTTGGTGCATCGAGACAACACTCTCACCAACTGAGCTACCCAGCCAGGGCCCCGCACTCATTTATTTTCAATTGAGGTGAAATTCACAAAATAGGCAGTGACTCATTTTAAAGTGCACCACTTAGTGCATTCACAGTGTCAGTTCCTCTTTCTAGTTCCAGAACTGTTTTTAGCCCTTAGCCCAGAAGGACACCCTGTGCCCCTTAAGCAGTTGCTCCCATTCCCTCCCTCCACCTTTTTTTTTAAACCCACAAAATACCTGTTGGAAGTCCTCCAGAGCCTCGCCCTGGAACGTGTAGACAAGCGGCCTGGCTCCGGTCCTCTCTCTCGCCTCTGGAAGTCCCTCCCAACTTTCCTGTCTCTGTCAAGTCTGCCTCTGGCATTTGGCCCTTGTCAAAGCCTCCTTCTCCTGCCTCCTATCCTTAGGCTGCCTAAGGGCAGTGGCCCTATCCTGGCATCATCCCCTCCTCTTCACTGTATTCAGCACAAACCAAGCACAGGGACCGCGGGCAGCTGATGCCACCGAGAGACCAAGTTGTGGTCTCAGATGAAGGTCCTAGGAGGTGACCTTTGTGCAAGTCCCTGTGGGTGTGTTTGGCCTCTCCAGGCCTGGTGGGTTCCAAGCAGCATTCGTGGCTCTGTTCTGCTTTAGTGAAGGGCCTCGGTCGGTCTCCTCAGGACTGGCTGTCCTGGCTCATTTATCTCTGAGCAGACACATGCGGTCGCTTGCTTTGTACCAGAAAAAGATGAAGATGTGTCAGCCCTCAGGGGCTCAAAGACAAATGCCAAGCCTCCCAAAAGTGGGCAAATAATATTAAGACTCCTTCCCTCTTCCATAGGTCTGCTCCAGTCGCAGAAGATCAGGAGACAAGGTGGGTAGGAAACAGGGTGATCTTGGAGCCTCTTTTTGAAATGTTCTAAGTGGAGCCCACCCCAGCCAAAGGGGGCACCGTCTGCCCACAGTCAGTCTCAGCATCTCTGTCTGGTTCTCGATGCCACGAAAAGCCTCCCTGTGTGTTTAGGGCTCTGAAAACCTGCCTCGGGCTCAGTGGATTGCTAGGAGGGCCTACAGAACTCAGCAAAGCTACTCTGCGCATGGTTACAGTTTATGACAATGGAAGGACGGGTACAGGTGAAAATCAGCAACAGGACAACCCTTAATTCTCCCAGCAAAAATGTGGGCAATACACAGGAAGTGCTGCCAACCGGGGACGCTCACTTGAGGCTTGGCGTCCAGGGTATTTACTGGGGTTAGTCACGTGTGCAAGGCTGACTGCCTACGTGGCTGACTTTTGTTCTAGCCCCTCCAGAGGTCATGCTGATATCCCCCACCCTAAGTCACATTGTTAGCATAGGCTCTCTGACATGAGCCAAGGTCTCGGGTGAACAAAGTCACTCTTTTCAGGCAGGACATTCCCAGGACTCAGAGGTGGCCTCTTAGGAGCCAGACCTTTCTTTGGAATGTACAGGGTCAATCCTTGACCACATACCCTCCCTCTACAAATCTGCAACATGCCTTCATACTACCCCGTGTGATGCAGGAAGCCCCAAGCTAAAGAGTAAACATCAAAAACGGCCTTAGGCCAGTACTTCCAGGTGGATGCTGAGTGGACACAAATTCTCGATGCATTTTTGAAAATATCATCTCAATCCATGCCTTTTGGAGATGAGTTCACATGCACAGACATAAGACACACAAGGGAAGCATCCACCCTGAGAAAAAGTCAGCAGATACAATAATCAACAGAATTAGACCCCCTTCTGGGTATCTTCAGGTAGAAATGATTAAAATGATTAAAGATACAAAAGAAGAAATTGTAC